CAGTGTGTGGAAGCGTCGAGTATTTGCATGATGTTCGCAATCGATAAGGATGTGTTTAATAGTCAGTGGATTGTTGCAGTGTTCACAGACGGGTGGAGGATCGGAGGTTAAGAGATTCATGTGAGTCAATCTTGTGTGTCCGATTCGCAGTCTTCGGATGATAATTTTACTTTTCCTGGACATGGGGGCAGCTTTAAATGGCTTTACTGTTGGATTGATCTCGTGAAGTTTTGAGTGAACACTGTTCCAGTGCGTCTGCCAGGTTTTGCGTATGTGGCTCTTATAGAACGCTTTTAAGTCTGTGGAAAGTTGGATGTTTTTTTGAATCCTGTTCAGAGAAGCTTTCTTTGCGGCACGATCTGCTGCCTCATTTCCGGGAATCCCAACATGTGAAGGTGTCCATACCAGAGTTATGGATACGCCCTGGGAAGAAAGATGTCTGATGGAGTCGTGAATGGATTGCACGAGCGGATTTTGGGTGTATACATCTTTGAGCGAATGTATAGAAGCCAGGGAATCTGTACATACTGCTACCTTGGTGTATCTTGGTGTTAGCGTATTTATGGCTTCTAGGATGCCGTATAGTTCTCCAGTGTGGATGCTGGTAGTGATTGGCAGTGAGATGCACCTAATGATGTCATTGCCATTGATAACTGAACAACCGACGCCAAGTTCGCTTTTCGAATCGTCAGTGTAAAGGACTCTGTCGTAACGGTTCTTGGTAACTAATTCTGTAAATGTCTGCTTAAGGATCTCACTTGGTGTTTCGAGTTTTGGAAGTATGCTAAGCGTTGTGTCGATAATAGGAATTGTTTTCCTCCATGGAGGGTTTATTGCAACTGGGTGGGGTAATGTTTTAGAAAGGTCAACATTAGCGAGAAGCGGCGGGAGCATTTCAGGTAGTGGGATTGGGTTGTGAGATGGATGAGAGAGTCGGGGAATAGGATTGAACATCGGAAAGAGTGGATTTTGAGGATTGGCTGATACTTCGGCAAAGTAAGCTAGGAGAAGTTGTTGTCATCTAAGCCAGAGAGGGGGCTCATTAGCCTCAATGTACATGCTTTCAGCAGGGCTGGTTCTGAATGCACCAAGGCATATTCTTAAGGCTGTGTTGTGGACTATGTTTAGTTGTTTTAGATCACTTTTTGACGCTGAGGAGTATATGAAGCATCCGTAATCTAGGCGTGAACGGATTAGTGACCTATATATTGTGATCAACATGCCTTCTTCGGCCCCCCACTGATGATGGGCGAGTGTTTTCAAAAGGTTCAGTCTACTTAAGCCCTCTCCTCTGATATTTTGAATGTGGTATTTCCAGTTTAGTCTGCAGTCGAAAGTGATTCCTAATATTTTGTGATGACTTACAATGGAGAGGCGTTTGTTGTAAAGTAAAATCACTGGCTCGGGGGTTTTGATACGTATTTTGGAGAACTTCATTACCTTAGATTTGGCAGCAGAAAATTGAAGCCCGTTATTTGAGGTCCACCGTGAGAGTTGGTTCACTGCGTCCTGAATTAGGTTCCCTGTAGTTATGCTGTCCTTCCCATGACAGAATATGACTAGATCATCCGCATAAAGAAGGTATTTTATGGGGGATGCAAGGTTCAAGCAGATGTCATTGACGGCAAGACTAAAAAGCGTTGGGCTCAGTACTGAGCCTTGTGACACACCGTTTTCTTGTGTAAATAGCTTAGACAGTTTTCCATTGACTGACACTTTAAAAGTGCGGTTAGTTAAAAAGTTATTGACGAAGGAAAAAATATTTTCGGTCAAACCACATTCTCTGAGTTTTCTCAAGACTAAAGATCTAGGTAACGTGTCAAATGCCCTCTCAATATCGAATATAGCGGCAATGATTTCGTGGTTATTGCGAAAGGCGGTAGCGATATGTGTCTGTACTATGGCTAAGTTATCCAGTGTACTGCGGTGAATTCTGAACCCCGACTGAGCCGCGACGATTATTTGATGTTTCTCGAGAAACCATAGTAATCTCTTGTTGATCATTTTTTCAATTAGCTTACACATGGTGCATGTCAGGGAGATTGGCCTGTAGGGATCGGGGTTGTCTGCAGGAGCGTTTTGCTTTTTTATAGGAATGATGATCGATTCTCGCCATTTTGATGGAAACTTTTTTGTTACCCAAATTATGTTATATAGTTCCAGCACTTTTAGTAAACTATTTTGTGATAGATTTTTGAGAAAAATAAAAGGGATATTATCAGGTCCTGCAGTTGAGTTTTTTGAGGTGGAAAGAGCATGTAGTAGTTCTGGAAGTGAGAAGGGAGTGTTGAGGAGATCGGCATCATTTAGATTAGTTTTAGCGGGAGAAGGGGATGAGTTTTCAGGTAAGGGTAGTGTTAGCTTGTTCATGAGTTTATTAACTGACTTTTGATGAAAGAGGTCACCGAAGACATCGGCGATTGAAGAGCTGTCATTGACAAGGTTGTCGTTATATGTTATGGCAACAATTTTCGAATTGGTGTTCTATGCGTTCATTTGTTTGATTTTAGTCCAGACTTCAGTGGTGGGTGTGCTGCATGTGATAGTAGAGACGTACTTGTGCCAAGATTCTTTCCTACTTTGCTTGAGTGTGCGTCTAGTAATTGCTTTGAATTTCTTGAAGTTTATTAGATTTGCTTCGGATCTCTTTTTGCGGTATTTGTTAAGAGGGGTCTTCGAAAAATTAAAAGATCCGTTGAATAGGTATTTTAAAAACAGCAGATTATTCAAAAATAATACAGAAACTTTTGTAATACAAATTGTTCCTTATCGCTTTTAACTAAGAATTTTTTTATTATTTTTTACTGAGCCTATAAAAGTGTCAAAAATGAGACACTCTGTAGATACCTACGGTACTTCTCTCAAGCGAGCTACAGAGTCACTGTAAAGATGTCACTCTACCCATAATTAGAGTCCAATTACAAGCAAGTAGTAACCTAAAAACCTTAGAACGAGAACGACGAAAGAGTAATTAATTACATAAGAATTTTTTGCAGATACGCCTATAGTGAAGCTAATAGCTATCAGTGCAGAAGCGCCTCAAAAAAATTTTATACACCTCAGGCATTGGATTTTGACTCGTGTAGGTGGGAGGCAAAGTATGTGTTATAATAACGTTGGTGGATGTAATCATAAATTAATGTCTAAGCCTTAACAGTCTACTTTTAGAGACTACGAATATGCGCACAAACACACGTCTAAAACTCGCATCTTTGCGTTTGGCGTATAAAGTGTAGTGTCAGAGGCAATATGTCTGCCTCTTTGGCGCACAATATACTATTTTAGAACAAGAATTGAATGTTTATTTTCTAAAATTAATAAATTACCGCGACTGTAAATCAAGTAAGTACATTACATTTGTATACAAACCATCTAATTAAAATAAATAAATGTAAATATTAAAGCTTGCCAGGGTATAGGAGGTTACAGTGTGCAAGTGGATTATGGAAAGTTCTACGAATGTGATGTCATATACTCGTAATAGACTATATCAAGTTTTTGGGTCTAATAGTTCCTGAGAAACAGCCGTCCAAAATTAACAAGTTAAAAAGTAATCGTAAACGATTTACATAAAGCGCATTTCCACTTGCATTCATTTCCCATTTGTAAGATGCAACTTCTGTTAAAATCGTAAAATCCGGCCACAAATATGAAAGATAGCGTTGCACATGGGCAATCCATTGTTGACGTGCTACTTCAATTTCAGTTTATGAGAGGAATTTCATTTCAATGCTTTTCTAAATAAGAAAGTTGGAACTGCGCATGCGCAAACCTAAATTTTGAAACTAATGTTAGATTTTCCTTTGTTCCAAGCGCCTAAATATCAAATTTCACTTAAATGCTTCCATAGATAAAAAAAAGTTGGCACTGCGCATGCGTAAAACCAAATGTTGAAATTGGCGTTTGATTTTCCTTTATTCCATGTGCCTATGTATCAAATTTCGCTTAAATTCTTCCATAAATAAAAAAAGTTGGCACTGCGCATGCGCAAAACCAAATTTTGAAATTGGCGTTTGATTTTCCTTTATCCCAAGTGCCTATGTATCAAATTTTGTTTAAATTCTTCCATAAATAAAAAAGTTGGCACTGCGCATGCGCAAAACCAAATTTTGAAATTGGCGTTTGATTTTCCTTTATTTCAAGTGCCTATGTATCAAATTTCATTCAAATACTTTTATAAGTAAAAAAGTTTGCAATTCGGTTTATAAATGGTCGAGATGCGAAAAAGGCACTGTGAATTTTGAATCGATTCGATCCAACTTTTGGCATTGCGTATTATATGGCTAAATCTATGCCCATATTGAATTTCATGCAATTCAGTTCATAACTAACGGAGATGTAAAAGTGATCGAACATTTCTAAACAAAGTTATCGTTCACACGGACAGATAGATGGACAGACAGACAAAGAAACAGACGGAGAGACCAACCGGCAGGCGACAGATAGCAATGCAAAATTATAAACGATCTCTAGGATCGTTAATAAACGGCAAAAGTGTAAAATTATAGAACATGTAAAAAAACGGTTTTTTGTTTTTTTTTACAATAACTTCTTTTGTAAGCGGTACAGAAAAAAATCCTTCCTTGGTACAAGACTCGACACCATAACGAACCAAATAGCGAAAAAAGTAGAACAATAGCTCTTAAGATAAAGAACTAGTAGCGTCACAAAACGAGCGGACGGACGGACGCACGGACGGACAGCCGAACGGACGGACGGACGGACGGACAAAGTGGCCACAATAGCGCGTTTTTTTTTATTTTTGTGGAAATGCGCTAAAAAGATTTCTACAATCAAACAAGTTTTGACCCTTTTTAGGGCAGAATAACAGCTGAAATAGTAATTCTAGGTGGAAGTCATAAGTTTTCTTGTTATGTGAAAAGGTCAAGTAGGAGAAACATCGGATTTTTCGAAATATGGAGTTTGTCGATTTGCGGTCATTGCTATTTATGGAAATAGTTGATAACTTGATAGACCGCCTAATAATCATAGAATGGTTATCAGATTTAGCTTAAATAAACATCTAAATTTTCAAGTCAGTCAGTTCATTGTATAGGTCGTATAGGTAGTACAACGAACGTGGGAGGCCTAGAGCTATCATTGTTTCATTCCTTACGGTAATCAAATCCGTTTACTCTGCAACTCAAACAATGTAGAAACGAAAAACCTCTGTTATAAAAGGTGTGACTGGATGCCTCCTCGGAGTCATTGGGAAAACAGGAACAACCAATTGTAATCAAAATTTGCACTGTGCAGTTTTGTCGTAACTGAAATATACCTACATTTGTGATTGAGAATTCATTACTTGAACAGATAGACAGACGAACCGACATCACGACATCAATATTGAATCTAATGCTTTTGTTACTTAATAATATGCTTCAAATGGGCATAAGGGATATTCAACAGCGGCAAACCTTCTAGCATAAAAATAAATGCCAGACAAGTAAATTGAAAATCGAGTTTGGTGGTCGTGGGATGTTGGACGAATGTAATGTTGAAATCCGACTAGATTCGGATCTGATTACCTACGTTAATCTATACTTTTTTCAATTTACTTACTTCCTGATATAGGTACGACAGCTCTGCGGCTTACTTTGCAATAAATTCTGCCTCGCAATGTGTTTTTATGCCAAATAATGCCAATATATATACAAATCGTTAGGTAAAACGTCTTAAATGTTAAAAAACGGAAAATACTGTGCCTTGGTGGGAAAAAGAAAGGAAAGGAAAAGCCGTATCCTGTTGATATTCAGTGCCATAACTACACAACGCTCAACGGCCTTCATTCTCACAAGATTTGAGATTTTCTGGAGTCTTCAGATATCAACACCAGAAATTGCTGCAACATTTTTTTTACAAAAATTAGATTTTAGTTCAAAAAAGATCCTTATTACCTAGAAGTCACCGGAGAAGGATCGAGTAAAAAAAAACCCGAGATGATTTTTAAGGGAGTAAGGCATTTGGGAAAACGGAATAACTTTTTTTCAACTCTGTTTTTACTATATCGATGATATGCACCTCCGCGCAATCGCATAACCCGTCCAAGACCCGGACAAATGCTAAAGTCACAATAATAAATCCTTAGCCAAAAAAAAGGCCAAAAGGTGACAGCATCATTGCTTATGCGCTAATTTCAATGGAAAAACGTCGGAAAGCTATGCGCCAATACCTAACTAATTAACGAAATTTTCAAATTGGTATATTTCAAAATTAAATGCCGGGAAAGAACTCTCAAAGAGAACATGTTATCTGTCGGGATGTACTATGTATTACTCAGATACTCACCCCATTTCTAAAGATTGTACGAAAAATCGTAAATCCAAGCAAACAAACCGATTGTTGCAAGAATTTATTTTATATTTACATTGCGAAGGATATAAAATTGCTGTTGCGTTCAGTCGAATGGTACAGTTGACTCCGTGATGAGTGCAAAACAAAATTATCCTTACGTATTGCGAGTCCAAGCAAACCGACTTCAATTTCGCGAAAGTAATTTTTCATTCTTTTGCGGGTAGTATACAAATTTGATTCAAAATGCATTGTCTAATCACTAGTCACTCAACTTTGGTAAACGTGCTTTTAATCAGCCGTTACTATTAGCTATCCGAAAGAACTTGTTTTTATTGTATCGATTTGTTTGCTTGCGGTTTGGTTGTGAAAGACATTCACCAACTAGAACATGTTCCTTCGCGTAAATTTTATCACTCGTAAGTAAACGACTTTGCTACGAATCAGACTGCTAAAAAGTTTTTCTTCGCCCCGTAATCCACTGCAATTCGTCTATTCACACACGTATAAAATTATAGGCAACGAGCAATTTGTGACGAACCCGAATTTGCTTAAATTTTTCTCTACGATACACAACGAAATGTAACAATTCTCGCTTCTTAATTTTTACCCATAATTAAACTGCTAATTCTTTACTACTGTTCGGATGGATTTCGTTCAATAAATGCGCGTTCCGGCTCTTCAAATCTCAGCACGAATCTTCTCACATACGCGAAATAAAATCTGTCATACACAAAATAGTACGCACCCTAGTACGCACCTGCTTTTATATCTTTGCTAAGAATTCAGTTCCAACGCACTTAACGCGATGGTTCGCGAAAATCAACTTAGAATAAATTTTCAACGATAAAAAAATTCACACACAAATAGTGTACGTCATCGCTGGCAAATGCGTTTTCCAATGTAATTGTAATTTTTACCGTGCCCAAATAGTACGTTTCAGGTCGCGAACTCAAGAAAGGATCTCCCGCTCTCGCACTTCTTTCGCTATTTAAATCTCGCCCGAGAGAAATACCGAAACGGGCTTTCCTTTCTGAATGCACTGACCGCGACTAGCGTACATTTTTTTTAAACGAATAATAAAATAGTGAGAAATACTTTTGTTTGTGTTCGCTATGAAGCGGTTGATGTATAAATTTTCCTATGTTGACCAAAATACAAATTCAAAACCAACTTCTGGAAAACGGCTAAGCGATCATTTGTTACGTTAAGTGCGTTTAAATCCTCCCACTATGACACCGTATTGCCCCTATCTTGAGGTCTCCCCGTTATTTACCTTACGAATTAGGAAAACCTAATTCGGAGTGATCGGCAGAATGCTCGAAATCTAAGGAAATTCCCATCTCTGCAACAGATGAAAAATTCTTACCTCAGCCCAGGTTCGAACACCCGGCTTTTCGGCTATGTAACCCAACGCTCTACGACTGAGACTCATAGGCGGCAACCATTCATGCCTATATTTTACACCTGCCACATTTTAGCACCCAAGTTTGAAGACTAACGTCAATCTAAAAGATGTGCTTCATTTGCGGTCGCCAGACACATCAAATATAACCAACACTCTGTATTAAATCTGTATTAACGGTCACAATATAGCAATATGGTGCTCAAACGGGATGTACCAATATCCTATTATTTACTTAACATGGTTTGGCATGAAACTGGCAAGTATTAGCAAAAAATAATACAGAATCAGCACAAAGGTGTGGATTATTGGTTAATGGAGTCATGTATTCCACTAGTAGCTAACTTTTAGTGAACAACATGTGTAACTTCCAACAAGATTAGCAAGAAGGCTGTGGCGCAGACAAAACAAAACAGATCGGTGGATACACAACACACAACAAAGACCAAACCAATGAGTGGCAAATTACTCGCACTAATTGAGTGTCCAAAATTTGGATACATAGACATTAAATATCGTAACATTTACACAAAATTAAGTAATATGTACAGGGTGGTTCAAATTCGTCGCTCACCATTGGGATCTCCGCAACGGTGAGCGATACAGTGTAGGTTAAATGGGGTTAAAGTTGCACCTTCATTTTTGAAATTTTTGAAAATCTTTGATAACCACTGAGATATCACCGAAAAACCTGAAAATGTCGTTTCGGAGATCCCAATAATGAGCCATGTATTTAAAAACCACCCTGTATAATACGAAACAAAAGTAGCACAACCTTTTCTGACACTAGCAAAACAAACCGATCGTATTTCAGCATAAATTTGATTGCAACCATTGTATTTCCAAAACTACTAATTGGGAACACATCGAAGATCAATAACACAAGGTTAGCACAACTTTTTATGTTAAAGTTGACTGGAACTGTAATTTTTTCGGAATTACTGGCCCAGATTGGTAGCACAAAATTTGCGAAAATTACAAAGTTATGTATATAAAACAAAACAACCTAAAGTTGGCTGTGTTCATTCTCCTGAGTCACTCGCTATGTATGGGAGCACAAAATTTGGATAATCGGGCTCAAATAGCACAAAATTAACAAAAAATTACGTATTACGTACAAATGGGCCGTACTGCAGGCTAATGTTCGTTGTATTTATCTTCTTCCCAGAATTACCCGCACTGTATAAGAGCAGAAAACTGGGGTGCATCGGCAATAAATATCACATTATTAGCACAAACTTATGTGATACTTTACTTACAAAACAAAGCTCAGCGGTGGTATTGCAGCTTAAAAATGACTGTACCCATATCCTCTGTTGGGAGTTTGTGTCCCTCAGCAATAAATAAGACATACTTAGCTTAAAATTAATTTTTGAAAACTGAACGTTGAATTGTCATAAATTTAACCTACCATTCTAGTAATACTAGTAGCGAGCGTGGGAAACAGAAGTGCTTTTGTGGGAAACGGGCAGGAAGTACGTTAATCAGGAGTAATTGACTTTGAATCGTTTGGAGCGAGCTCTGCACATAACGGTTGATGTTTAGAAATTAGGAATGGAAAATGATGCTCAGCTAAATATGACGTAAAAACTTCTTCTATACATACTGGAAACACCTTCTTGACAAATGCAACATTGCAAAATGACACCCACCAGCGGCGTAAGTGGAATTAAATCGGGTGGGAGGAGAGGTGGGCCGCATTTGATTTTCCATTCCGGATAGTGATGGACATCTGCAACATCGTTTGTTTATGTGCTACCTTTCGCAATCTCTTTAAGATAATATGCACTTGTAGAGGAAGGGGTCCAATAACTCGTCCGTTATCACCTATAAATTTGCCCGCGTCCAATTGGATACACTCAGTTGTCTGAAGCAGTTGCCCGCGTCCAATAGTCCTTTTCTTTCAAGTTGCTGGTAATCCGTTCTCCGCGCCCAATTTACCCATGTGCATATTCTCGCCCAATTTGTCCGCACCGAGTTGGAGTGCCAGTTTATCGCAAGTCCAGTTAAGGATACCCAAATGTCCTACAACATCAATAGATATAGTGTAGGCAATGTAACCTTGAATGTGCTGATAAGGTACACATAAAACATAAGCATTCTAAAATAATTATTGCTGTCATTACATTAAAATGCAAAAAAGTAATAAATAATAAAAAAACGCGAGTAAAAACTGTGCTCAAAACCAAAAACTCTTGTATAAGATACAGTACTCGCGTGCTCGTGTTAAACGTAACACGGACTTAAATCAGATAAATCAGTAAAGTGATTTGATCATAATCATTTTTTACGAATCGTCTAAATGTCCTAGATTCGTATTTAGAAAGGAGCTACCACAGTTCGTCGTGTTTCCATTTTTGGTCATTTCGCAAGTGTCCAATTTTGTGCTGCATTTTATGATCGTTACATATTCAGATTAGTCTAAATTTATGAGAAGTAGGACAAAAATCGTTGATGTGTACCTACAGATCCCACGTGTATCGGTTTTTTTTGTTGATCGCAGTCCATTTACATTACGCAACCGGTTTTTTTCAATGTAACGCTCTTACCACATAACAAATAAGAACAAATTCGTCTTTGCTACCTGCTAAACCTGTATACCTGTTAAATATAGTTAATGACAAGGTCGTAGATGAAGCAATTACCAAAAAGGTACAAATTAATGTGATCTATACTTACGGTCTTCACGGTTGGCTCTCCGGAAACCGAGTGTTTAAAGCTGACATCAAATTTTTGTACTCTAGTAAGTTTCCTTTGCGAGGGGATGACGAATTTGTTTCCGGAACCGGGTAAAAATCCCATAGAGGAGCATTTTTTAGGAGGAAGATTACCAGCGACACACATTCACGAGATCGTGACACATCAAATGACGTCTTATGACGAAACACCAAAACACCAGCGAGTGTTTGTTTTGAAAATCTTACTTAAAAATCTTCCTTGGTGGTGTAATGTAAATATACCGTAAAATGTTTACTATTTCTCGTCTTCATATCTGGGTTTGCGAATCACTGACATAAATTAGGAATAATAACATATAGGAAAACAACTTTCCGCATATAAACAAATCATACCACTCGTTCAATAACCCGATGACGATTTTTTTTACCTTCTCACGAAATGTAGTTTGTCCAACAAGGCACAGGTAGTAAAGTGCAAATCTTTATGCCAGTAATCTTTAAACGATGTGTGTGCAGCTCGTGATATCGCAGAATTGCTGCTTCAATGCGTATCTTTCGATAATAATTGAACTGTGTATATTCAAGATAACGTCATGCTAGCTATATAAGTCCCTGTCGAGTTCTTCTTGGCATCACATCGTATCGAAAACCACGACAAATATTAGCCAAATCATGCGCCGCTGGAGCAACACCAACAGGTTAGTCTAAACTTGTTACTTTACTTGTATTTTATTTTAACGTTCTCTGCTTTTTAGAATTAACGGTACCCACCACCAACATCCTCCGTCCAATGGTGGAAACGGGAATGGTAAAGGAAAACCGAAGCCCGTCGCGGGAAGTATGGATCATGAAAATCGCGAAAATTACGAGTTTGGAAAGTACGGTTACGGCAAAAATCACGTAAAGCTGTTACACGTTTTTCGTGAAGGCCCCCTACATACAATCAGGGAGTTCGAGGTCGACACCCATTTAAAGTTGACCACGCAGAAAGATTACCTCGACGGCAATAATCAGGACATCATCGCGACGGACACTCAAAAAAACACAGTTTACGTGTTGGCTAAGAAGCACGGAATCAAAACTCCTGAAGAATTTGGTTTGCTGATCTGCAGCCATTTCCTGTACATGTACAGACACGTGGAGGAGGTGGAGGTGAACCTCGAAGAGTATCCCTGGGAAAGATTGCAGGCGGATGGACAAGAGCATAATCACGCCTTCCTTTTTTCTCCCAATGCGATCAGATTTGCAACCGTTAGTCAAAAAAGAAATGGTAAGTTCGTGTTTAATCACCAGTCCATTTTCGTGACATCCCTCTACGTACTTTTATAATTTCAGAATCCCCGCTTATTATTGGAGGGCTGAAGGGACTCCGCGTTTTAAAAACAACACAGTCCGCCTTCACCGATTTTTATCAGGATGGTTATCGAACTCTACCAGACGATAACGACAGAATATTTAGCACCGTTGTCACAGCAACGTGGGAATTTTCAACGGCAAACGGAGTCGACTTCGACGACGTTTGGATTACCATTAAAAATTGCATATTTGACAAATTCGCGGGCCCGCCCGACAAAGGAATATTCTCACCTTCAGTACAAAATACACTATATCTCGCGGAGAAGATGGCGTTAGACAAAATTCCTCAGGTAGGTTACAATAGGCGTTTATTTGCATATTAATTCGGCAACATCCCACACAATTCTAATTATTATTTATGACTTCTACAGATAAGCCGCATACAAATGCAAATGCCCAACAAGCACTATCTGAACGTGGACATGAGCAAATTTCCGCCGAGTATATTGGAAAATAACGAGAATAAAGAAGTTTATCATCCCATCGACAAACCTTCGGGGATTATATACGCAGAGTTGCTAAGAAAAAATCTAATGTCCAAATTGTGATTTATAAGTATTGTTTTTATGATGATTTAGTATTGTTCAATGTACGTTTTAAGTTATTTATTTTATTATAGGCTATTATAGGGTAAATAAATCTAGAACCATCTTTTTTCATAGGCCAAATTTTCCGCTCTAGACCTTAACCTATTACTTCATCACGCGTATACGCTTGTAAGAAACCTCATCCATTGAAGTGAGGATAACATCTTGTAGTTTCTTGTCTTTTAGTACCTTCCACTGTGAATATCATCAATTCATCACATTCAACTACTCTGCTTTCCATTTGAGTGAAAGAGGAGCTCTAAGCTGTACCGTGCACGATGCCCTGTGTTCCTTTTAAGAAAGCTTCGAGCTCTGACGCGCCCGAAATTGGGTTTCCCTTGTCCCCTCATGCACCACCTATTTGCTTGGGGCTTGTAACACTTTTGTGGTTATTTACGTACTGTGAATGTCAATTCAAATGTGTTAAAAATGAAAAACTTGCAAAATGAGCTGCTCCGAACGAACTGCACCAGAGCTTCACGCACTCAAATGGAAAGCAGTAGTAGGAACAGGCGCGTACATTATTGACACTACCTCCTGCGAATATTACACACTGTAGAGGGTCAAACGTTGTTTTTTTTAAATTCCAATCAGTATAGACGCGATTGATCAGCTGTTTACTAATTATAATACAAATATAAATAGATTGCTAGTGGCGCGAAAGGTTTTGATAACAGAATGATTAATAGCGATGCTGACGTATTTAGTGAACATGGTAAATGAACATTTTTTTATCGGTCCACGTTCTTCTTGAATAACCAGAAGGAGAATATGTACTCAGTTGACCCTAACGTACCTACGTAGTAACAGGTTGAAAACCTTGATATTTGGATTCTTTGAATATTCTACGGTTACCTCAATCCATTCATTACAAGTAAAGTTAGTAACAAGGTTCAATGTAACTGTTCATATTTACCTCATGAGAAAATCGCCTAGAAACCGCATTTAACAAATAGGAACTAATGTCACAACTTTATGAAGCGATTTTGACCCATGTTTCAACCACTATGATATTCAACAATTAGCAGTATTTATATTATGCCCTTCTGGCAGCATTTGCAGTAAGGGGATTTGGAGGTGCGTCAGTGCGTGAAGCAGTACATCAACGGCACAAAACGCGGGATTAGGTGCATTGTTTTGTGCCAGCTTTGTGCCGAAATGTGTCGCTATCAATGTGTTAGCAAAACATAACGTTCCCAAATTATCGCATCTTTAAGTGTAGGTACTCCTAACCTCCCAACTTTTTGACGGCACAAAACTCCGGAGTAGGCGCATTGTTTTGTGCCGGATTTGTGCCGAGCGAAAACTGCAACAAAACGCATTGTTTTATGTTGAATTTGTGCTGAAATGTATCGTAAAAAGTCCGTCGGTATCAAATTCCATTCTCAAATTCAAGGTGTATTGCTAATTTTTAAGTTTGACCATGTTGTCTAAAGGGTCCCATTCAAATGCGGATATGTACGGCGGATCTGTACGGCGGACAGATCCGTGTTGAGCTACACACAGGCGGATATGGCTGTACACAGATCACGGATAAATCTCAATAGACGAGCAGGCGGCGTTCTGTCGCTATTTCAGTTTTGTAGTACTAGCCCTGGGTTGTGTTCTTTTGAGTGCTGTGGTAATTGGTAAGTATGGATCATAAGAAGAAATTGTAAATAATTGGAGGATATTTGAAGATACGAAAAAAAGAGACTGTGGTCAAAACAGTGGTTCCTGAAACGAAAAAAGTACTCTCATATGAGTTTACTTAGAGAATTGGAAACGAGAATTTCATGATTTGCACAATTTTTTGCGCCTTTTAGGGATCAAGATGTGCAGCAGCTCCACATGAGTTCTTCGCACCACAGTTTCAAAATGCCGACCAACACAGTAAATAATTGCTTTTAAATTCTTGACCATCAATATCGTGAGTTCGTTCATTGTTTAGATACCTGTATTGGCTGTATTAAACAAGGATTCAACTGTTTGCTAATGAAATCGGAATAGCGAGATTTTGAGGAACACGGCCGTTGCGTTTTCATGGATCCTCAGATCTTTAATGGTTTTGTATTGTTGCATTGCATTGCATTGTTTTTAAAAACTTCTGATTTGGTGTACCTACGGCTATGATTTTTGAGTAGCCGGGTGGTCAAAAGTTATGGGTCGTCAAGTGAACAGAGAATAGGAAATATTAAATGCTGAAATAGTAGAAATCGATCTATGTTATTCCCTCCATCGGCCTTTCTCTATAGATTATGTCCTACAAAATTTGTAACAATTGAATATAACCCCTTTTTGTGACCTAGTTAAAAAGTTTTAAAGCAAAACGTACCCGAAAGGGGTGGCAAAAAATATACCAAATTTCAAACTGCATGCGTATTGATTAAAGGTGTCACATTTTTTGGGACCACGTCAATTCGATAATTTGATACCCACGAGATGAATGTAATCCATTTCTAGCGTTTTACATTACAATAACGATGATCAAAAATTATTATACAACCTGTGGGGTATAATACCATTCAACCAATAAATGTACCGCTACTTTTTTCACGGAAATGTATAGTTACAGAAAGTATTTTTCGTGAGCCTCATTAACTAAAAGACCACTGACACATGTCACTGACTCTCCTACTGTGATTTCGTTGAAGAAACGTCAAAACCCATTTGTTGAAGAAGTGCATGAAGAATCGTGCACATTTCTCTAAGATTATTATTATTATTAAGTAATTAAATATATGTAATATCGACTACAGTTCATGCTAAATGCATTGGCAGTCAAATTCAAGACATTTTTGAAGTTGATAAATTCTTCCCAGTTGCGCATATTCAATCACTTATGGACGGATAAACCCATGTTCGTCGTATTTGGAAAGCTGTTGCTGTCGGATGTTTTACGAAAAGTATTCAGAATTTATCGTAGACTTGCAAAATGCTACAATATCTATTGCATATAGGTACGTGCTCTATTGCCTATACGTGCATTTTCCTTAATATTTACATTGTAATTGTTAATAGTAGTACTTATCGTAGTATGTATTAGTAGTATCGTGCAAAAGTAAATCTTAAAAACGAAACATTGAACAAGTCTTTTCTATGATGTGATATGGCACACGGCATACTAGATTTCATGAATTTTTTAAATATTGAATCACGAATTTCTTCATTTTCTTGTAAATCAACCATATGCATATTTTGTCACAGAAAATTGATTGCTCTTTTTAAATATCGTAAAACAAGTTGTAAATATGCATATGCATGATGAAAGCGCATTTTTGGTAATGCATCAGTTCAGTTTTCATTAGCAAAGTTTAAAATTATCGATCTTACGAGTAATCTAACTCAAAATAGTCTAAAGCCTGAACATTTCACTACCTTCATCATAAAGCTTTTACTGAAAATTTGAAGTCTCTAGCAACTGTAATTGTTGAGATCTCAGCCGGGCAGCCAGACAGCCAGGCATAACGAATATAATAGCGTATTTTTTTTTCAAAAATGCGCTACTAATTAAGTTGTTATACTGGTAGCGCTATCTAACGGTAGAATTCTAGCACCTCCGAAAACCATATCGAAATTATTTTCTTCAATTGTCGATCTCACAAGTAATCTAACTCAAAATAGACTACAGCCCGCACATCTACACTAGGTACATCAGAAAACTTTTAGTGAAAAGTCTCTAGCTATTGTAATTGCTGAGATCTTAGTCGGACAATCAGCCAGCCATAACGAATACAATAGCGTATTTTTTTCCAAAATTTTTTCCATAGGCATTGCATTTGAAATATATATAATTACAATTGACAAATTTTTCGTATCTCGCCAAATAAAAGAGATATTTGACCTTCTTATCTCGAACACACTGTATATTAGCAAATCGAACATTCAGTACAGTTCCAATTTCAATGCCAAAGTAATAAATAGTTCGCGCTGTTATAAATTATGTATATGTGAGTGATAAATAATATTTGTTATAAATCAATTCATTTCAAGGCTGTTATGCATTTATTGTTAATAATAATTTGAGAACGGCAAGTTTTACTCACAAACTGATAGCGGCACGAATTCGGCACAAAGCAATGCACCCAGTTCCACTTTTTGCGCTGTTCATGTACTGCTAACTTCGCGCACCTGGGAATTTGGCCTTACATCTCACTTATAACTCAGACATATAGGAAAATATAGTTCATCAAACAAGCTCCATGAAGATGCCAACAAATGACTCCCTCGTCACACAAGATTTGCGCCCTCTTTGCGTAACTACGTATAGGGCCGGATTTACAGCTTGCGGGGCCCCCAAGGACAAGTTAGGAATGGGGCCTCTAATTCTACCTTAAAACAAAAAGAAAGGTTTGGTAAACGTTATTTCAAGAGTAACGTATACTTAATCATTTCACAACTTTCCTCTACGCGCCGCATCCTTTCGCTCCTCCCTCACCATCAAGGCTGCCGCCGGTTCAAGAACCACCGTCCCACCCATCGCCTTTACTTCCGTCCCATGGAATACAGTCACCTGACGGTACATCACCATGCTCTTCTGGTTCTAATGCAAGTTCCACAGCCTCCACATCTCCACTCGCCATCACCTCCTGTCGCTACTGCATCAGGAACATTCCTACAACCATTACCACACAAAAACCAGTTTATTCAACAATCGCTCCACTTCAACTTCCACTTCCAAACCTTGAACTCAACTGCAACCTCAACCCAAAACCCTCAAACAAAACTCAAAGGCACTTTCGGCACTCCTACGAGCACCCAATTATCCGGTCCCAGACCCCGCATCGCCACACCCATAATCCCCCGCTGTTGTGAAAACAATCGCCCTTCACAAGCAGCTCCCAAACGCAACAATTGTACCGGCCCTCATTCTCCCTACTCCTTCGCCGAGATGACTCACCTTCAACTTCCTCGACCTCTCGCACTACCGACTCATCCTTAAAGTCCTTACGCACTCTTTGTCAAATCTGTTGGCCGAGAGACGTGGTGCGGTCATCGAGATCGTAGATCCGTAGCCGTTTCGAACTACTTCTAGGGGAATGGTGCTGGAGTCCTGGAATTTTTTGCAGTAGGTGTGCCAGAGGGTCATCAAATT